CATTAGCGCAGCAGATGGTCACGAACAAAAGAGCTGCGATAACTCGATGTACTTTTCGCTGCTCAGGCTCCCTGACTTTGTACTTGTGCGTCTCCCTGGGGAAAGGAGACATTAGTTTTCAGCCCCTTTGACTTTCCCCCCCCCTCCCCGCCATCAGTGCTGTCATCTTGGGGCTGCTGATATGCCACAATGTGTTGGATACTTTTCCAATTTAAAAAAAAAAAATTCCTTTGGTCTGCATTTGGCCCATTTAAGAGTTCTATGTGTGTGTTTCTACCTTAAAAGCTGAGTGATGGAGGTGTGAGATGTTGGCTTTTCTAATCAGTTTTCATCCCAGGGTGTGTGGGAGAGTCCCGGCGCTCTGTGTCGGCTGGGCTGTGCGGTGCTGCCCAGCTGTGGGTGCCTAGATGGGGAGGACGAGCTGTCATCTCGGCGATTTTCACTGGCTCAGGTGATGTAGGCATCCTCACAGGCAAGCCACCCTCATCACAAGCCCACCCTTCGTTCATGTTTTGTTTTGTTTTGTTTTGTTTTGTTTTTTTCTTTGAGGGGGAAGTTAATTTGAGCAGCCCTTGGCCCATCCTGCCTGCTTTGGCAATCTTCACCAGCCCGTGCAGATGTGAGATGTGCGAGTAGGAAGGAATTGGAGATAACACCTCTTAATCCCTCCCAGTGCTCCAGCAGAAAACACTGCTGCTGGCTGATAATTAGAAAGTGAACAGACTGTGGGAGAGGTGACTTGGGCATCCCTGAATCTCTGTCCTGGGCTTCGGGGAACATCACTAATGATCTGGTTTAGAAAGTCAGAGAGAGACCGGGGCTTACCGAAGACGCTATGTAGGGCAAACACCGCGGTGCTGTGCTAGAGATGCTGAGGGTCGTCCCAAGCCAGGGGCTCTGTTCACTTGGTACGTGCCCGTGCTGTGCAGGCCCTGACTGGGGCTGTGGAGGCTTTGGAGCTCCACCCGTGTAGTTTTGAAGAGGCAGCCAGTGTGGTCAAGGGATCAGAAAGGTCAAAACGCATTTTTCAGTGAGAGTTAGGTGCAGATGGAGTGGTGCTACTGCTTTGCTGTCTCCTGAAAGTGGGAAGCAGCCGAGAAAAATTACCCTTCATGGAGTCTGGGCTGCATCTACCCATAGGTGCTGGGCTGACACATGGCACCGACGCCCTTCTTCATCCCACCAACTCCTATGAGCTCCCTGGGAGCATTGTGAGGTGGGTTGGTAATGCAAAAGAAGGAGGAGGAGAAGGTCTGGTGCAGGTTCCACCATGTCCTGGGACCAGGGTTTGGGGTTCTTTTTCTTTTGTGGGCCTGGTTGCTGGTATGTTTGAAGGCAGGGACATCGAATTTTCCCGGAGGCTTACTTGCTCTTCAGGGCATCGACAGGCAGTTGGCTTGTCCTTTTCCTTTCCCCTCTTTCTCCGATTTATTTTAAAGCCTTTGCCTACTAGCCTGTAGCAGCCTTGCTCCATTAATATTATCTATGTCAGGAATAAAGGCGTGTAGAAGAAACCCACCCACAAAGCCTGGCCTTGTTCTCTGATAGACTCCTCAGTGATAATTGTTTTCTTCAGTGCCAGCATCTCTTCTTGTTGCAGGAAGGTTTATGCAGCCTCTGCCCCCTGCTCGCCCACCCTTGTTATCATATAAATCACATAATAATAAGGCTAGGGATAAACAGGAACTACAGTAGCTGTTAACCGTGTATAAAAACAAATCACATGGAAACAGTATAATTACTGAGAAAATATCAACTTGAGTAATGCAGTAATTGTTTTCTTCCCTCCAGCAGATTTATTCCAGCTCTCCCGACTCATGCTGGTTTCAAAGTCTGTGACTTCACGTTAATAAGAAGAATTTCACGTTTCACATTGCACTTGTTCAGAGCCTGGGTATGATACTATCTGAAACGGAGGAATATATTTTGAGCAGCTTCTTGAGAGTGCTAGGAAACGTAGCTCTAGTTAAAATATCTCTATCCATTAGAGTCCACCCCAGGCTCCAGGTGGACTCTGGTCTTTGCAGACCTCTTTTGGGATTTACAAGAAGGGCTTCTTCATGCCTTGTGTAAATCCGGGAGCTCTGCTTTTTGGACTTCACCTTTGCATGGACAAGATATTTTTTTTTGCCTTCAGTTTTGTTTTTTTCCTTCCTCTTGCTGCTTGTCATTTCCTTCATTTAGAGAGGAGCCTGTGAAATAACAGTGACCAATTATTTGGGGTCCAGGGACACTGCCTCTCTCTACTGCTATAATCATCACCTAGTACCAGATGATGATGGTTTTTGTGCTGTGACTTGCAGCTGTTCCCCTTACTCAGCTTTGCTGCTATTTGACTTCAGATTCTGAAAGGTAAAAAGATAAAAATGTGTCAGAAACCAGGTTTCCAAATGGTTTTGTGCCAAGTAGGAGTTTAAAGATGCCCTCTGTCTTGCATATTGGCAGATGTGAAATAGTATCTTTTGTTTCACATGCACAGGGAGAAGTCTGTCTCCTGCGTTTTTATCAGGTAGCTTGCTTTCCTTTAGAATAACTATCCCACCTACAAGCCACTGCCACTTCCCCTTCCCATGCCTTAATCTGAGTGAGATTTTATGAACACATAATTTATCTGTTGCTTCTTGTGGTTGTCCCGCTCCTCTTGGCTTGAAAAAAACCCAAACCCACAAAAAAAATGCCAAACCAACCAACAACACCCACCAGCTTGCCCCCCCCCAAAATAGTTGTGGAGAACACGAAGCCTTCCCGCTGCAGCAGACTGACCATTTTTTGGTGTCTAATGCTGGGGAAGTGAAGCAAAACAGGATTTGTTCTTTGGGATTCTCCAGAAACCTTTGATGTTCTTCTAGTTTCTCTTCTGAACAGATGTTGGAAACAACCAGCTTAGCTTTCTGGTGCATTTGTGCTCTTAGGGCTAGATGAGCCCCATGCAGGACAGGGAGGAAGGGGTTTCAGGTTGCTCCTTTGCTTTCTGTCCCATGATGGCAGCGGTGGGAAGGGTGTTGATGCCTCCAGACTGCACCCAGCAGTTGTTCCTCCCTGGCTGGCTTTGATGTCTCCTTCAGCTAGAACAGGGTTGAGCAGGGAAGAGGAGGAAGAAGGTGCCAGTGAAGGATGCTGGTGTCCTGGGATGTGGCCACATTGTTGGGAAGCATCCTGCCTTGCCTCCCCTTGTTCCAGCTTTGCTGTGGATGACGTTGCTCATCCCTTAGGGAGCGGAACAGGGCAGAATTCATCTCAGCACAGCCCTACCAGGCAGGGACAGCCTTCGCAGCCAGGTCCCCTGCGGCTGTGCTGGACTGTGGGCGCAGCTTCCCCAGGAGGGACCTCCCCGTGCTTCATCCCCACCAGCAGCAGGGTGGAGGCCACCCTGCGTGGTTCTGCTCCCCCATAAGCAGATGCGATTGAGATGCTGAGCGGTGCCAAGGTGGCATCTGCACGCTTGCCACGTTTCGAGAGAGGTGCAACACGGCCGGTGAACCACCCAGGGCCATCGTCCCCGTGCCTTGCTAGGTGGAGGAGCACAGAGGGGCCCACGCTCTCCCAGTGCCACCGAGCTCCATCGTGTCACCCTTGTCCCCACAGAAGGACCACCACGGGAAAAGGGTCAATGGGTGGCCCTGGCTGGTGGCTGTGAGTCAGTGTGGAGGGGAGGACGCTCAGCACCAGTTGGTGCAGAACAATGTTGGCTTTGTCCGCGGGCGCAGGGCTGCTGTAATGAAGGTAGCAAAGTTGAGTGAACTTCACTTGCTCGCCTTTCCCCCTCCCCAGCAGCTCCAGTGTGCTGGCTGCCTGGCTCAGCAGCGGTTTATGGTTACAAGCCACGCAGCTCCTCTTCCTGCCCCCTCCAGGAAAAGAAATCCATCCACTCGCTAAGCAAATGAATAGATAAACTTTTAATTAAGGTGTTGGGTAGCTGCCAGAGGAGTGTCCCAGGTCAGGGTGGCTGTTGGTGTGCTGTGATCCCCATCTGTGTGGCTGGTGGCTATTAAACAGCTGCTTCATCCCAGATGTGTTCGTCAGTGATGGGCAGACTCATCCAGGCATGCGACTTGTGTTTGCAGGAGATGAGCTCCGTCGTTTGGAGCTGGAGAGGTGAAGGGTGGCGTGGCTCGGGGATGCTCCTGGGATATCAGCTGGCTGGGCTCAGCAAAGCTGTTGCATTGCTGGAGGTGAAGCGGAATGTTTTGATGTGTTTTCCCTCTGCCCCCAGCTTGTGGTCGTTTGAGCTGCTCCCTGTGATGGCCACAGAGGTTATGCCGATACGTCTTGTCTCTGACTTGAAGGGTCCTGTTTTGCTGAGAGCCTCTTTACCTGGAATTTGCAAAAAGCTGATTTTCATCAGTTCAGCCTATTTTTGTCTCTGCTGACTTCACCTATCCCTTTTCTACCCATTTCTGGATGCATGCATTTAACATTCAACACTTGGAGCTCCCCCAGAATGGAACAAGAGATGCAGGAGGACCTCCATGAAGGAGATGGGAGTCCTCTTTCTTCCTGGGGGTTGCCCTCATAGGCCCTTCTCATTCAGCACAGTTAACGCCACTCTTCCCTCCAGCATGGCTGTGGCTGTGTCGGAGGAGGACATTTCTGTGGCTGCCTTATTTTTGGGGAGAAGGTGTAGCCTTGAGGTGACTGCTGAGATGTGAAGGGACAGTGCTGCTGGGAGCTCCTGAATATGGATGGGTGTATTGATCCTGTAGGAATGTGGGTAGCACTGAAGGTGGTGGGAGCCCCTGAGGCTTTGGCAGGAAGAAGAGCTGCTGTCGTGTCCCTGGGGGACTAACCTGGTGCTCTCTGGAGATGCTGGAGGATACGGAGCACTGCGGTGATGTGATCTGGCAGCTGGTAGTACTTAGTGTAGCAGGTTTCTGGAGGGGTGCGTGTACCTCAGAGGGCTGGGAATGGGCCAGGGAGCTGTGGCAGCTGGTGTAGGAGGATGAAAGAAGGATCCAAAGCCTCCTAGAAAAGAGCTGACCTGGTTGTTTTATGCTCCCCAGGATCGTGGCCTGCCTGGCAAACTGGAGCCCGTGTCGCCTGTGAGCCCGGCTCACCCCGACGCCGAGCTGGACCTGCTGCCGGCCCGTCTGTCGAAGGAGGAGCTCATTCAGAACATGGACCGTGTGGACCGCGAGATCACCATGGTGGAGCAGCAGATCTCCAAGCTGAAGAAGAAGCAGGTAAGAGGCTGTGGTCTGGAGGGGAGCACACGTCCTCATCTCTGCGTGCTGCCTTACACCCCGTCATTGCCCAGGCATGTCCACAGAGGGGAAGTGGCAGTGCCAGTGCCACCAGGATGGTCTGTGTCCATGCTCCCTGTCATGACATGAGGCGGTTGCTGCTGTGCCAGCAGTCTGGAGGTAGTAGTTGCAAGACAAGGGAGCTTTGGAAGCCCAGTTTGTGGGCTCATTTGCATGTCAGAGTACCTTAAAGGGAGAAAAATCTGTCCTCTGTGACTTGCCCATAGTCGTGCAAGCAGTGGCAGAGCTGAAAACTCAGCCTGGGTTGCTAGAGTTGTCTGTACAGCTGAGCATTAGTACAAGGTCTTTTTTTTCCTTTCCAGTAGTTGTTTCTCCCCAGTGCTGTTGCTGCCGCTGTTGTAGTACGGAGCTGTTTAAAACACTGCTGAAATGTCTTGATGGCCCTTTCTGTCCATCCAGTCCCCTTCTCTGGGGCTGTGCAGCTCTGCATCCATGAGCAGCATCTGGTCCAACTCCAGTGAGGGCTGTGCCTGAGCCAGGGACTTGAATCTGATCTTCTGGGTTAGTGCTTTACCCCTGCACAAGAGCATTCCTCAGCAGAAGGATCGCCTGCTTGATGTTGCCATGTATACAATTACCATAAACCCATTAAGAGATTAATATGACAAAACCTTGGGGGATGTCTGTGAAAAAACCCACAGACTTAAAGGCTTTCGCTTCCTAAAGCAAATCGCTTCTCTCTCTTACCAGTTGTTTTATTTCCTTTGCTTGAGGCCAGTTTTTAAACTCCTAGGGCTGCTAATCCCAGACTGCCTGAGGGGAATGACCTCTCCCGAGGGGTGTTCAGCAGGAATTAGGGAACGGAGCAAAACCTCTGCTTGGGCTGTTGAATGGGGCAAGTGTTCCTCGAGGTTGAGCGTGCAGTTGACCTCTTCCTCCCCCTCAGATCTATATTTTCCCATACCAGATACTGTCCCTTTCTTTCCTGCAAGACAAAGCAGGATGTTTTGGTTTTGTTTTCAGTGTGAAGGACCTTTATTTTTGTGTTGCTTTTTATCTGCAGAGGTATCGAAGCGCTTAGGGAAAGTGAGTCAAGAGTGGGCAGAAGCAGCTGTGCTGGGGAAGCAGCCCTGTGTGCCAGCTCACAGGGGCCAAAGGAACATCTGGAGTGATGGAAACCACAGAGGTTCCTCTTGCTGGGTTTGGTGGGAGCTGGGTGAAGCCACCCCTTCCCCTCCCCCTCCTAGGAAGCTCGGAGTATTGGTGTCCTCTCTCGCCTGGCAGTCTGGCTGCCGGTCCATGTTTGTAACTCATATTTAAGGAAGGAGGTGCAAACCATGGTCATTTCCCAGTCTGGAGAAGGGCTTCCAGCATGGGATGTGTGCCTGGCACGGCAGTGAAGGCCCCTCTTATGGCATCCAGGGGGACTGACAACTCTGCCGATCCACTGCCTGACTTTTTTGGGGGATGCTGAGAAGCTGCTGTTGAAGCTGACGGAAGCAGCATATGCTCCTTGCCATTAAAATCAAGCTGTCCTTCCGTAAGGAAATGGGTTTTTTATTGTTGGCTGCTTGGTTGCTTTATTTCTTCCCTCTGAATGAATTTTATGATCCTTGCTCCCCACAAAAATGCTCTGCTGAGTGGGGAAGAAGGTGAAAGTGGCTTTTGGCAGTAAAAGCATCCCCTCCCCTCCTTTTTTTTAAATCTGTTTATTTTTTTGGGCACATGGTGGCAAAGTCATTTGGTAGCAAATCCCACCCCCCCCCAGCCTGGCCTCCTTTCCCCACTGGCAGGTTCCTTCCCCAGGCCGGTCCTCTGGCAGAGCTGGCACATCTGGGAGGAAGCATTTTTGGGGGTGGGAGGTGTCCTCTCTAAGATGTTCTGGGAAGGTTTTGTCCATCTGTGCATCTGAGCTGTCAGCGCAGGAGAAAGATGAGCGAGGGAAAGCAATCAGCCTGAAACAGATACCTCTCCTGCAGGAACAGGCAGCAGAGCAGGGGAGAAATTGTACGCAGCCGGAATACCCTAATGTTTTTCCCCTCTGTCTTTGGGAGGCCTTCTCAGGGTAATTAAATACATTTATATGGAAAGGCTGTGCAAGAAAAACCCCAACCGACCCCAATCCACCATCTCTCTTTTTTTGGTTTTTCCAGAAATGGCAAGGAAGGCTCTGCCTGGGCTTTGCAAGAAGCAAATGTCTTCAGCAAGCTGAGAAACCTTCCCCAAACCCTGCGTACCCCTGGCAGAAGGCCACCTCCATCAGCCATCCCCCGCTCATTCATGTACCATATGTGCTTAAATCTTTCGCTGAGTCCTCTCTCCCCCTCTTCCTGACAGGGAAGGATAATCCTTATGCATTTATTCCTGGCAGCGGTACCAGGGATCTGAAGGAGAAATAAACTGCTGGGCTGTTCTCCGCAGTGGTGCCTGAGCCTCCCTGGGCGCTGAGCTCGGCGAAGGGCTCTCCGGGAGTACAACACTCCCACCTGGTGATGGAGGTGGAGCTGGCTGGGTGGAAGAGCTCCAGGGTTTCCCCTTCCATCTATCTCCTGGCTGAGTTTCCTCTGTTCTCCCCCGAGCTCTGAAAGTGGTTTTCGGAGATCCCCTGGGCTGCAAGCCTTCTCCTCTCCCCTGGGCAGGTGAAGCATCCTGGTACCCAGGTGATAGCTGATAACACAAGGCACTGTGGCAGCTGGATGTGTGTGTAATGACCTTGGCTTCATCAGGCAGGTCCCTTCAGCACAGGGGCTGGTATGTGCGGGCTTGGGGTCTTCCTGAAATGTCACCCACCGTCCTGCCAGTGCTGCAGGCTCCGGTGGCCCCTCCGTAGCGTGTGGTCCTGCCAAAGAGACTCTTACTGGGAGGGAGAACCTCGTTCACTTGGAAATGCGTTGGCCTGTGGATGCTGTAGGAGCCAGGGCTGTGGCTAATGATGGCATCTCGCATCCCTTCAACATTGCTGCACTGCCTTTCGCTGGGGAGAGCAAGGGGCTTTCAAGCAGCCACTGCTGGGACTGGGGAGGGGAGAGAGAGAGTGTGGAGCTGTCAAGACTCATCTCTCATCCCGCTTCTCTCCCTGTAAAGGTCACAGTCCTAGCCTAGCTTTTGTGGCAGACCTTTAAGAAATCATTTCGTCCATGTCTGGGAACCCTGACCTATTTTGCTTTGCCATTTCCCACAGCTCCCAGGGGTAGCTGTCATGGGCTGAACCTGTGAGATCAGGTGTGCTGCCTGCAGACCCTGCCCACGTCCTTACCTCCAGCATCTGGCCCTTTAATAACCATACAGTGTTACAACACAGAGAGTAGAGTTTAATTCTCTACTGTATTTCAGCTATAATTAGATTTGTATTCTTCTTTTAACGAGCTGCTTTTAATGAGTCTCCACTTACTGGCAAACTTTCATTTCCTGATACACCATCAAATCCTCTTGTCTGAAATCACTTACAACACACCCGACCACTTTGCAGAATTTTTGTGGATTTCCAGAACAATGTAGCCAAGTTTCTGACTTTTTTTTTTTATCCAAATATTTTCCCCAAGAGTAGTAGAGGATTTGGCCGATCCCTTTTGATGGCTCTTTGGAGTTTATCACATGGGAGCGAAGGTGTGTGATGTGGTGCCTTAGGACACCGAGCAGGAGCGGGCAGGTGTGTGGAAGCTCTGCTGCTGTGCCGGGGCTGCTGCTGAGAACAGCTTTGCAGCCTGTGGTTTCAGCCATGGCTTCCTGAAGAGCTCTTGTCACCTTTGCATAGCGCTATGATTTGGGCCACCTGAGAAACAGCCATGATTGAGAAGAGAAGGGAGCTTTGGGGTTGTCTGATGCGTGGTTGGAGCCCTCGGCGTGCTGCAGCGGTGCGGCTCTGTGGGCAGGAAGGGATGGATCCGCGCGGTGCTGTGGAAGGTTCATCCCCTTCCAGGGTGCAGATGGTCCGAGCTGGTTGTTTCCAGGCTGTCTTCACATGTGGCTGGAGTAGCCCCCAGGTTATGACCCCAGGGTGGGCATGCTGATGCCAACATGCAGAGCAGAGCCAAGGCTGTCCTGCCCCTGCCAGAGCCTGCTCCCCAGCCAGGACAGTGCTCTGCCACCTCACTGGCAACGGCGCCTTTGTTTTTTTGGCTATATGTTAGTGTTCTCTATGCTGTTGCTCTTCCCTGTATGGGAAGAGGTGTCCACCTGTGGGGAGATGGAGCATGAGTGGAGTCCACAGCATGGCGTTGATTCATCCATTGAAACATATTTCATTTAAGGAGCGTGAGTTTTCTCAGCCAAGCCAGCAGACCCATCAGGGTGCTTAAGTGTTTTCTTGGACTGTATCCTACTGCCCTCGTGTTGCCAAAGGTGTTGTCAACAGGAGCAGAGGTGATAGGAAGGAGGAATAGGTGCCCACCTTCTCAGCCCACCAGACACTGCTGTCTCTGGGAAGACGTGCACTCACCTCTAGTGCAAGCTGATTGCTGTCAGTCCCAGGTGCATTTTCTTCCTACTGTGAGACTCGCTCGAATTCCCCCTTGCTTCAACAGGGGATGCTTTAGCTGCAGGGAAAAAATACAAAGATTTGGAGATTCAGAGCCAAGCAGTGGAAAAATCATAGGCATTTTTTGACAACCACTCCATCTCTCATGCCTGTGCTGCCCCACAGCTGCCATACGTGGCGTGTGCTCTCCCTCCTCGCAGGGAGCTGGTGGCCCCAGGAGGAGCCCAGAGGAATCTGTTATTTCCTCTTTTGGCTGAGCAGTTCCTTAAACTTACTGGAAGGGTTCAGATGTCTCCTCCTGCCTCGCACCCCTCAAGAGAGCCAGAGGTGCAGGTCGTATGTCAGACGTATCTGTTGACCACAGTGATATTCAAAAGCACTCTCTTAAATCCCCTAGTTTATAATTACTGTTCACCATGGCCTGAGTGGCTTGCAGGTGGGTAGGAAGATGTTAAAAGATTAATGATCTCTAAAGGTGCGTACATGAATGTGCTCCCCTCTGCTTTCCATCTCCCAAGGGGGTAGTTGGCATTTTGAGCCAGCTTTGGGGCTGCGTGCATTTTACTACATGTGTGATGGGGATGTGGTGGATGTGCTCGTGGAGCAGCTCTTGGGCTCCTGGATGTTTCTCTTGTGAGTGGGAGTGAAGCTTGGGATGAGACACACACCTTGGGTTGTGTGTGTCCCAGCACAGGCAGACACATGGAGATGGAGGGGACAGTGTCGTGTATTTTTGCACTCAACAGCTGCACCTCAAAGCCTAGATACCGTGAAATGTAGAGCTGCAGCAATGCAGTGAAGACAATAAGAACTCAGGAGAGCCAGCAAAGCGAGCTTCTTGGCACTGTTGTCTCTGAGGGCAGGACATCTGGGTGATGGCTGTCCACTCCTACTGGGCTTTCTCTAGTGGGAGCCTGGACTTACTTGGTGTTTTCTGCTCATGACAGCTTATCCTGTGCGAAGGGAGGAGAGAAATGAGTCTCAAAGCTGCTTTCCCAGGCGATGGCTGATGGCTGGAAGGTGGCTCATGCTGTGCCGGTGCCCTCAGCAGCTCTGCCTGTGCCCACTGGGACAGCCGGAGCCGCGTGGCATGTTCACGCTGCAGGCATTTGCAACCGGAGCACTTGGGTTCTCTATGAAAGTTCACCAAAAGATACCTTGATGGCCTATGTCTGAGCACCGTGCTGTCTTCTGCAGGGAGTCCTGGAGCTGTTGCTTGCCCTCTTGAGCACTTTGCACCTTTCACCTTGGCCGGGAAGGCTGCCACATGTCCCTTCGGGCTGACTCCGACCAGAAATGTCAGGATTCACAGTGTTACTGCCTGCTCTGCTGTACTTACTGACTCATCTGGCTGCACGGTGCAGGGGCGGCCGGTGCACAAGTCATTTCACCACGAACAGTCATCCCGAGGCATCTCCTCCAACCACAGCATCAGAAGATACAGCCGAAGGTGGAGAGCAGCCTTGCTGCTCACCCCTCGCTCCTCCACCGCTCCCTGCAGTGTGACGGCAGCTCCAGAGGCAGGGAGCCAGGCTGGAGCTGCAGTTTCCTTTAAGGATTTCCAGTAAAATCATTATTTCTAGCCTTGAGCCCTCTCCAGGAGGCTCTTCGAGGCAGGTCCTCATCCTCCATGCCTAAAAAGCACCAACCCACCAGCACGGGGCCGGGTGCCTGGGGCAGGACAGCGCTGCGCTTGCGTGGCAGGGGCCGTTACGCAGCTCTCCTCCCTCTCCCCATCCCTCCGCAGCCTGAGCCTGCCCATGTCTCGCAGGAAGCCTTCTGCCATGGCGGTTTTTGCCTCGGTCGCAGCACCACAGAGAGTCTCGTGTGGACGGGGACGGCTGCGTTTCTCGCTGTGACTCACCCTCCTCCTCCCCCCTCTCCTTTCCACAGCAACAGTTGGAGGAAGAAGCAGCCAAACCACCAGAGCCTGAAAAACCCATCTCCCCGCCTCCTATCGAGTCCAAACATCGCAGCTTGGTGCAGATCATCTACGACGAGAACAGGGTGAGTCTGGAAACGATGAAAGTACAAATGTGCGATCGTGCCGTGTCACCCTGGCCGGGGATGGGGAGGTTGGTGCGGGGTAGGTGGGGGATTCCCCTGGGTGAGACCCCTGGGGTGGAGGCCGTGGGAGGTGGATAGATGGAGCCCCGACGGGGACAGTGACGACAGAGGGCCGAGCTGTGAGGAGCTCGCTCTGCTGTGTGGATTGAGCACAAATGTCTTCTGAAGAACCTGCCTGGGGGGGGGTTTCCTGCGATCAGCCTTAGATTTGAATCGTTCAGAAGATGCTTCAGAGCCCTGTCTGTTAATTAGCTTGTTTCATCCTCTCCCCTGGGAGTGAACCTGGTTGAAAGCTGCCTCAAAGAATGGGCTTCAGCATGGTGGGGTGGCCTGCGTGGATGGAGGGGGACATCTGTGATGCTCCAATCCTGGCAGGCCAGCTATGAGCTCACCTGGCTGCCCCTGAGCCCCCTCAGGCTGGAGCAGAAAGGACGTGGATGCAGCCATGGCTGGATTTGTGGGTATTTAATGCTGTAAATAGCATTAGCAAAGGTCAGGCTGGTATCCCTGGCTCTGGATCTCTGCCTTGACCACTCATTTGTTGCACTCTGCTGTTGCCTGTAATAGCAGCCTGAGGAGACACGAATTTTGCTGTGCGCTTCGGAACGATGCTAGGAAATTGAGCCCTTGGTAGATAATCAAGCATATTCATTTTCATTTAGGTGTTGGATAAAAAGGATGATTTTGCATAAAAGGAAAACTACCAGTCACTAATTATTTTGAATTGCGAGGCCTGCGATTTCACTAGGAGCTGCAGAAATCCAGGTGCCTGACTCCTAAAAAGAAAAAAAAAAAAAAAAAAAAAAAAAAAATCACATACCCTGCGCTCCCAGGCAGTGCAATTTTCCTGGTTTCCCTTTTTCCATCTGCTTCTCTCCCTGAGCAATAAGAAGCTGAACGCTGGCATGGTCTGTTGTGCAAGTGGGTGAAGACTGAGGTCGATGTGTTTGACGCTTCAGCAGGCGCCGGCTGGTGATAGCTTTACAGACACGGGGTGCTGGGGGCAGGTGCCGAGTGTTCCTCAAAGCCATTGTCCCCGTGGCACCACCAAATGTCCTCTCTGGGGGTCTTGGGCTAGATGGCTTGTGCCTCCTGTGCAAGGGGTTAGGGTCAAGGAAAGATCTCAAACATTTTTATTCCTGTTCCCTTGAGCCCCATCCTCCTTGGACACTCATGTACCTGGACCATATTACGAGGGGAAGAAGTTGGGTGATGGTGCTGAGGCAGGGAGAAAAGATGATCTTCAGCCATTGCATCCCCAGCAGCCTGCATCGTAGTAGTCCCCGTTAGCTGGACCTGGGTCAGGGCTGAGTGTCCTGCCAGACCCTTGTCCCGCTTTGTCTCCTCTTGTCCCTGCCCATGCCAGCAGCAGGGTCACCCTTTCCCTCTCATCTCCCTGAGGCCCCCATCGCCTCCTCCACAGCAGACACGATCTGCTCTCGAAGCCTCTGCCACAGCTCAGAGCAGTCCCTTGGGGTTGCTGCCCTGTCCCATGGGTGGTGGCAAAGAGTGCGGAGAGCAAGCGTGGAGTTCTGTATTTTTTCTTGAATATGCATGGCCATAATACCTGGTTTGCTGTCGCATACTGTGCTCAGAGCTGGTGCCATCCGTTTGTCAGCATGCCCGACTTTATTCTAAGTTAGGCTGCTCCTTGAAGCCAGGCTGCTACCGGGAGTGTTTTGCTCTTAACCTTCGCGACAGGGTGCTCTCGTTCCAGGTGGGTGCTCAGCCACCGAAGGTCACGTCTGACACCAAATGTCTGCATAATTTCAAATCTGGCTCCATGTTTGTGTCTGTGTGATCCCTGTGATGGGTAAATGATGATTCTTCCGCTGTTCTTGTAAAGTCCCCTTGTGAGTAACGTGTAAGCAAGCCTGCCTGTGGGTAGGAGACTCAAACCAAACAACCCTTCCCATTTTGCTTGGTAGAAACCATAGCAGGCTGGAGGGCAGTTCCTCCTTTGAAGAAGATACGATCTATTCACGAATAATGGAGGGTTGACAGAGACTTGCTGGCCGATTGTAATGGCCAAGGCTGGATGATGAAAGGACCCTTTCCAGTACCATCACACAGAGATGCTGAGCTGCAGGCTGCAAGGGGAAGGGTGTGCTGAGCCTTGCCAACAGCACTGCCTTTGTCGTGGCTCCAGTAACAAAGGTGGGATTCAGGATGCAACTGTCCTTCTAAAGGGCATCCCCAGGCTCAGCTTTCAGCCCCTTGCCTCTCTTGGACACATTTGGGATGCCTTTTGGTGATGACTGCTCTTCCCCTTGAGGCCAGGAGGAGGAAAGCTGGAAGTGGAAAGGATGTGGGAGCATCAGTTAGGATCAGGAGTGGAAAAGAGTGGCTGGTGGCCAGATGTCAGGTTGCTTTGGGTGGGTTTGGTGGCAGCAGACCCTCTGGGTGCACCCAGCTGTCTGTCAGACGTGGGCAGCGCCCCAGGCACGCTTGCGCTAACCTGCAGCTTTGCTGCAACTTAACACTTCATTGCAAGGTGAGTTGATAGGAGCAAAGGGCCATGAGCCAGAGAGAGACATATTGATCTAGAGTGGGGAAGGTCACTGAGCCAAATTTAAAGCCTTTTTGCCTCTTCCGTGCTGTGGAAAAGCAGTGAAGTCGGATGCCTTGAGGTCTGCTCGCAGGGAAAGAGGCTGTAACGGCTGAGCCAGGGTTCTAGCCTGTGCACAAAGGGAGGAAAAAGCCTGATTTACTTGCATCGCTCAGCTTGTGGCTTGCTTGAGGCGGGCAACACATGGTAAGAAATGCAAATAAAAAGAGGTTATTCAGGCCTCAGGAGGAGGCGAGAGAGCAAAGCACCCCAGAAGAGCTGGCAAAGTCCAAAATGATTTTTAAACAACAATGTTATGGAAGGGGCAGAAAGCCAGCGCTTGTGCTGATCCCAGAGCAGGTGGGAGGCAGCGCGCTTCGTGGAGGGGCTGTCGCCTGGCTCTGGTTTCATTTTTCATGAACCACGGGTCTGTGCTTCACCGAGCAGGCGGGTGCCACCGTGCCCATTCCCACCGCTCCTGCCAGGCTGTGCCGGAGGTGCACACTGCGTGCAGTTATACCCCGAACAAAGGAGATGCCAAAAATGGTCCATGGGAGAGAAGAGGTTACATGAGGACAGAGCAGCTAGAAACGCCGGAAAATCAAGTTAGCCAGCCATTCTGTGACCTACTTTCCTTTTGGTGATAGCTGTGGCTTTGCAGGGGTGAATGGTTTCTAATTTTAGCTTATGGTTCATCAGGGAAGTCTATATATTTTTCTCACCGCTGCACTGGGTATGGATAAGGGGTTGGGATGCAGGTTGGTGTTGGCCTGTACCAGAATTTCTCAGAATTCAGGTTCACTGATGATAAACACCCATCATGGTGCTTTTCCCTCTCGTGACCTACTTAATGCATACAGTTTGAAAAGTTCCTCGACGTTGGAGAGGATAATTGTGGGAAACATGACCTGTAGTCCCCTCTTGCTACACTCTGCTGGACAAGTAATTGATTTCCAGAAAAAAAAGTTGACGGTACAGATTCTCCTGGGGAAGAGTAGAAAGAAGCTGCTCTTGTCTGCACTGAAATCCTGTGCTGTGAGGTTGTGGTTGCACTTGGGAAGGCTTTATGAGACTTGGATTATAGAGAGACTGTTGATATTAAAGATCTAGATGCCTCCTGCCCTGGGTGTGTGCTGACTGGAGCCACTTTATCTTGTCTCCAAAGATAAGCTGTGAAGTCCCACCCGGAAAGGTAACTTTTGGGAAGTGTTTGCAGTCTAACACGGCAAAACACACATGCATGTATCCAAGCCAAAATTTCAACTGTGAGTGCAAACTGTACCACTTCTAAAAGGATGTATGAGAATGGAAGTTAACGTTTTTGGTACTATCCGTAGACTAAACTGAGAATAAGCAGCGGGTAACATTTTCAGAAGTCCTATTTTCAAAAGTGCTTTTAGTCCTTGCAGAGACAGAATGATGTTTGGAAACAGCGATGGGTGCTAAAATCGCCGAGATCGTTCAGAAAATGCAGTGGGGAGCTCAGAGGACCATTTCGGCTGCGGGATGGGGTGCGTTTGCCAGCCCCCCATCACCCCTCCCCAGGAGCTGGGTGCTGGCAGGGTGATACAGAGCTACCTGGGGAAACTGGGTTGTGATGGGTGTCTTGGTTGCTGCTGGAGACTGTCAGCGATGCAGGCATTGGGGATCTCCTAAATTAAACTGTGTGAGCGACCTTTAGTGTCTCCTCTGCGGGGGGAAGTTGATCTCCGCTGGGTCTGGCACCTCTGAGGTGGGAGCTGTGTGACACAGCCTCCTTGCAGGCTTTAATTCGCCCTTCTGGGACATGTTATTGTATCAAGAGAATTTCTCTTTCTTCCACCTCAAATCCCCATAACCAGGGCAGATCATCTGTGTATATTTTTAGCTGTGGCTTTATTCCACTGGGCTGCTCACGGGATTCCTTGCATCTGTCTTCCCTTGAAATTGATTGAGCGCACCTGGGTTTGAAGATGTTTTTGTGCTTTAAATGGAAATTTTCAGGTTCCTTGCTAAGCACGGGGAGGAGGGTGGCGTTGCCATTGCTCCAAATTGCTCTCTGTGCCTTTCCTGGGCCGCTGGGCTGGCTGAGCTCTCCTTGTCAGTGTGTCCTGGAGGAAGCTGCACTGCGGCAGCCCTGGCCGTGCCAGCAGCCCACCTTGACTAGGCTGGGTGAATTCTCCTCCCAAGTCCTCTGCGTGCCCCAAGTGCCCATCAGCTACCATGCCCACGTGCATGCAGATGTGCTCATGCCATCTCTCTGACCGCTGTGACAACGTGGAGCCTGCATGTCCCCGTCTCCAGCTCTCTGCAAGCCAGACCCAGGTGGTTGAAGGCTCTCTGCAGACCCACTGCACATCAGAGCCGGGCAGGATTCCTGCTCAGAGACCAGCAGATAAAAAGCAGCCTCCGT